TTGTGATTTGATTACCCTGCGGAGGACTGAGGGCAGTGACAGGGAACAGAAGTGTAGACTGTCCCTTTTCTGAGGCATTTCCTACTTGCTTTTTCAGCAGGGGTTTCTCCCTTGCATGAGTGGGTCTGCTGCCTGCGAAGGGTCGGGAAAGTCTGTGTCATTTTTTTTTTTTTTTTTTTTTCCTGGTTGTACAGAATGCTGGCCTTGCATTTCAGGTGCCGTTTGTTTAAAAGGTGATAAATATTTACAGCCTTGCTGGAAGGAGGGAATGCGGATTTCTCTTTCCAGTCTCAGGAGACCACCTGTAGTAGTGATCGCCGCCTGAGGTTTGATTCTCTGTGTATGTCCAAATTCAAAATCGGAGGGAGAGAGTATGCAGAACAACTTCATCCATGTCAAGGTCTGGTTTTTTGTCCCTCTGATGAGTGTATATACAGATGACTGATGCCCAAATTAAAGATTTTTAAAACCTTTTTATTAGAATATACTCTTGAGAAGTCATAAGCTGCAGTATTTATCTGCCAACAGGAAATGTTAAGTATTTTCCTGTGTTAACACTCACCCACCAGGATTTGCCATGCAGAATCTGTCTGCATTTGCCTTTGTTAGTATGCAGACTTCATAGTAAATTACCTAGAGGCACCAGGAGTGATACTGTGGACTTTTTCACTGCAAAAAAAGAGGTTTAGGAGTTTAAGAAAGTGCTTGTGCTGTTTCCATCACAACCTTAAACACTTTTTTTCTTATTTAGTAATATATAAAAAATACTAGGCGATACATCTAAAATGATGTGTTTTCCATCCACATTACAAGGCTAGCTTTAAAAACTCTAAATCCCTCAATTCTGCCCCGAGTCCTTTTTTTGTCCTTGCTTCATAGTGTAGAGGGACCTCCCCTACCTCTTTTCCCTAAAGGGCTTTTGAACAGCTGGGCTGAAAAGCTCAAGTTTTAAATCTGATTCTGAAAGCCTTTTTATTTCTTTATTTCAGTTGTCTTTAATGTAGGTAGTGAGGTGCCAACATGAGTTGTCATGAAATCTCTAAATACCTGGCTTTTGGTTCTTTAAAGTTTATATCTTGAAAAAAATGAGCAAAAATTAAAAGTCCTCCTCATTCCAGAGCCTCCAGTTCAGCATTTTGATGCAGACAGAGTTCTAAGCATTAATATTTTCAGTCACCGTAGCAGGCTGCATTGCCTGCAGTTTTCGCTGGCCTTTCTGAAAGGTTTTCCCTTACCTACTTTGTGTCATAGACTAATACGGAACATCTGCTGCACACGTGTGTGTTAGCGAGTGGCTCAGCATATATTTCCCCAGATTTTTAACAGCCCTGCTCGGGAAGGAGCTGCAGTAGTCCGTGCCAGCATGATGCTGTCCTGCAGGCTCTGCTGGACCGGGCACATAGAGGCCGCGTCGCTGCTTATTTAAATGTCGCGTAGCGCTAATGAGTTGGCAGATGCTAGCTAATATTGTTAAAGATGTCAAACTATATGTGTGGTAGGTGCTAAAGAGTGTTTAAAATACCTTAATTAAAGGGATTGTCCAATAAATTCTACCAAAAAATTTGTCTTCCCATCCTCAGAAGGATTCCTAATAACCTGCTATTTATAGGGGTGCCTGTCTACTGATTTCAGTCCGAGGTATCAAGCCATGTGCGAGCAGGACTAATAGTGAATCATGTCTATGCCTACTGCTTCATGTTACGTGCACAAGCACTAATGTGGGGTGGTTCTCCTCTTGTTAGAGAGATTTCATTTGTAAAGAGACATGTATCCCAAAATTGCAATAATATGGAGGGTCATCTTTACCTTATAACGCCAGAAAACAGGAAACAAATTGTCTATATTAGACCAACTTGGAGCACAGGTTTTTTTGGAAACTCCTACCATGGAAAGGAGAATGTGTCTTTTTGACACTGAACATACAGCATTTTAACTTCTTTTCCTACATGCCCACAGCTAACCGTAAAAGAAATACGTTAATAGACATCTTTTAAATGGTTTGTGTAATGGAAGGTGGTCAGTTGGGACTGAAAGAGAATTGCTTTGCAGCAAGGTGACTTCACTGAAACAAACATTCATGGTTTTGTATTTGCTTACAGAGTATTGGTAACCGTAAAGTATTTCTTTTAAAAAGGAACAAACTGAGTATGATGACGTTTGTCAATAAAAGATGGTTATGCTTCATCTAAAAATCCGTACTAATTTACAAAATTACTTTCTGGTTCTGGAGAAATACTCATTATCTTGCATGCAGTTTGATATTTATTCTGTTGTTTTGGAAGGCATAAGTCACTGTCGAGTGGTCACATAGGCTGATAAATTCCTGAAGCTTTGGTTCATATGAGTACAAAGGTGGTGCATAAACATAAGTTCTGTGAATAAATGGGCCAAAAGTGTGTGTTCTCCTCTAGATTGAAACATGAACTGTCAGTTTTAAGTGACTTAACAAGAATGCTTTCTTTCCAAAGTGGCAAATTAAATGCTGCTCATTAGGTAGTTCCTGAAATGCAGAATGAAGTAGAGCTGCAAGGATTTAGCTGACAAGGCTTTTCTAAACATGTGTTACGAACGCAGTGCAAACACCAGCACAGCACCTTGCACCCACCTCTGCCTTTGCAGAGAAGGCATCCCTTAATTTCCAAACATAATTTTTTTTTTCAGATTTGCATAATTAAGCATTAACATGTTCCACTCTTTACTCAGCCTTGGGAAAACAATTTCTAAATCCAAAATAAAGGTAATATTTGGCAAAGAACGGAAGGAATCAGTGGTTGTGTGTTCTGTTTTTTTTTTCCTCCCCCTACAAATATCCTTTGTTACCTGGGAGCTGTACCACGTACCTAGCTCAAGGGAGGCTCCAGCGGTAGATCAGTTTTGGGGTGGAACATGTGAAGTTTGGGATATAGCTTTGGGTGTCTTGCCAGCTCATAACACAAGTCTGGGGAGTTGCCTGCGTATGGCATTTTCCACAGCACCCTGGTTTGGGGGAGGTTGGTCATTGTTACTGGTATGTCCAGCCCATCTTCTGGTCCTTTTTGTTGGGCTTGGGCAAACCTGAGTTGGGAATGGCAAACCAAGCTTTGTATTTTGAAATGCAATTACATTATTTTTTTTACTGGTTGTTGATGTCTGGTTTTGTAAGATAATCTGCCTGAATGCCTGTAAAAAGTTTTATTCCACTGAGACTGGACTGGTGGCTTTTCACTGAATTTCCACAGTCATGCTTGTGCCAAAAGCAATGGTATATTTGGATTTCTTTTTCTTTTTACATGTTAATTTGGGTGTTTGCTCGTTTGTGTGCTTGTTCAATACAAATCTACTGCTTGATTAAAAAATACATCAGAATTGTAAACTGTTTCCAAGTGGCATGCTCACTTGTGAATGCTCAGTTCTGAATGTTTTTTGGGCGTGCTGAATGATCTTAACCAGTTACTCTGGCTTGAGGAATGGATTTAACATAGAGAAAAATTCTTAAATGGAAGACATTTGACTGTTTTAATAGAGCACTTTGGTAATTAGCTTGTGTTAAGATACAAGAGGGTGTAAAATGTGAAAGTTGTCTTGAAATTGTGTGGTTAACTAATTTGTGAAGATGACACATCTCTAAAAGAGGATGGAGGCCTGGGAGGGGTTTTTTGCCTATATTTTCTGATTCTGTACATTACCTTTCTGGCTAGAAGGGATGGTAGAATATGCTGGAAGGAAATTAGGGTGTGGAAAAGAAGCTCGAGGTCCACAGACAGTGGTTTTAGGTGTTAGTGAGGACTGACTTTGGGTTTCTCAACCTTGAACTTCGAGGGATCACAGCAGTCCACATTGTGCTTTGTTAAAGTAGGTAGATTGATTCCCCCTGGCCCCCCCAAGGGGGTTATAATTAATCCTGTAGACTATAGTGTTTAATGGTGGGGAACAACCCCTGAGAAGGATGCTTTCAGCCTTTCCTGTAGTAGGGCAAGCTTCCCACGTACTTTCTGCTAAGCAGTCACACGCACAGCTTCTTAATGAGTCAGAAGATAAAATAAATGGGAGAGTTGTGAATTTATTATTTTTTTTAAAATTCTGTCCTCCGTGTGCTGGGAACCTGAAAATCGTATTGATCAGGTCAGTTGTTATTTTTTCCTACCAAGATCAGTGGGAGAAGTTCCCTTTCCCGTTAGCTGGAGGCAGGCTAAGCACCATAGTCGCAGTGTATATTCCCCTTCCCAAGATTTCTGACAAGTACATGTTTGTTTAAAATAAATAAAAAATTTTACTTCGTTTGCTTGAAGTAAGATGCAAATCAGTAAATGCTTCTCCCTTCCATCTGTCCACACCTTTGTATTTCAGAGAGCAACTAAACATCTTTTTTATTGTTAGTATATGGATGTCATTTTCAGCTTATGAGAAATATCTTGAGCTGTTTGATGCCAACAATGAATTTTAAGTGCAGAAAAGAAACCCATAAAAAATAATAAACTGATCTCTGGAATTTTTTCATGGGCTCTTTTGAGCAAGTGAAGTCGGGTGCTCTAGCTAGTTTATGGTAAAAGCTGCTGAAGACAGGCAGTCAGAGGAAGAGGCAATAAATCACACAAGCAGGTGAGATGCTGCCGGCAATGCCGCTGGCAGCAATTGCAGAAAACTGTTTTCTCCCCAGATCCCCTCTTCAGTTTAAAGCAAAACCAGACGTTGTTTATTTGTCCTTAACATAAGCATCAGTGTAATTTTGCTTTGGATCCATCTCAGTGGGAAGGGAAGCAAAAACGGTTTTTTTCAGTAAATGATACTTGAACCTGGTATCCCATAAGCATAAATAGCAGTTATGTTGGATGAAATTAATGCCATTAGCATGTTGTCTGCTGTTAGTGATTTGCCTCCCAATGCTCTCCAGACGATAAAGGCAGAGCTACTGAGAAGAGTTTTATTTCATCGATAGAGCTGAACTTCTTTCCCCTGGAAACTGTATTTTTTGGTGATCTATATGGTTATTTTTGTCTCTCTTCTTGTGGTTTCTGAACCAGATACGGGTTAAATTTTCATCTAAATTATTAGCTGAGCTCATCCCCACTCTGCAGTCACATACAATGGTGAGTTCTCTCTCAAAAAAAAAAAAAAAAAAAAAAAAAAAACAAACCAAAACCCCATACTAAACAAAACCTGAGGTGGATGAGAGACATTAGCTGCAGACAGTGGGTCTGACCTGGAGAGGCTGTGTGCTAACTCTTGCTGGGGTGTCTACTGAGGTTTCTTAGAGGTGCCCAGTCAAAGCAACGACCTGGTTGCTTCAGAACTTTCTTGCTCTCCGCAAGTCTAACAGTTCAACTTTGATGTTATGTTTTGCCTGCTTATTTTATTGTCGGTTAACCAGTTTTCTTTCCTTTATCTTGTATATGATGGGATCTCCGCTAGACAGAGGTAACGGTGGGGGGCAGTTGTATAGCTGGACCCTCGTGCGGTGGTGTTTGTTGGTGGTTTTTCCTAAAACTGTTCCTAAATTCAGCCTTGCTTTCACCATGCTTCTGTGCTTGCATGACTTGGTTTCTGTGGAATAACCTCATCCACGCCTACTTTTCTTTATATTAATTTCATTTTCCTCTGTGTGTGTGTGCCGCCTCCTGCTGTGTTCTTAGAATGGATCACCAGTGTGGATTTCAGTGTGCATCTCCTAACAGTTTTATGGATCCTTTTCAGTCTTTGAAGCTTCAGTGGATCAAAGGGACTGGGATTTTTAGCTTAGTGAAGGAGATTAGCTGATAAAACACACGTGGTATTTTCTATTAAAACAAGGTGTTGAAAAAGAACTGGAGCAAGAGAGATTGAGATTGGTATTGATTCCGATTCTCCTAGTGAGCTTGCTAAAACACGCTTCTGAATCGTGTGTCTCTCGTAACTACACATTTTTGGTAACTTTGATCACACTTTATATCCATGTGAAATAGTTCTTGGCTACTGCTACAACAGAGGATAACTAAAACACTATTAGTGAAATATAATAATTTCCCTTTTGAACCCTGTATTTAAAAAAATCTGGGTTTTGTAACACTAATCTCTCTAAGATTCAGACAATTTTAAGCAAAAAGGACATAGTTTTATTTATCTGTATTTCAACTAGGCTAAACCAACTAATTAATATTGTGCAATTCCATATTCCTCATTTGAAATGGGGAAGCACTGATCTTTGCAAAGCATTTCTGACAGATTTGAAGGCTGGAAAAGGTCCACTGAATATGAATGAGATAGTAGGGGTGTGTATGTGGAACGGCTTGTTGGTGGTTAGGATACAAATAAAGCCTTCCATTTCTCTATTTAATCAACTGCTTTATTTTCTCTTTTTGGAATCTGTGTTGGATGAATAAATAGAAATTATCCCAGGAGCGAGAGAAATTTGCTGATGAGGACAGCATATTTTATGCCCTTGGAGAATGTGGACTCATTTCTTTTTCTGACTACATCTTCCTCACGACAGTCCTTTCCAGTAAGTACAGTGGGTTTTTTTTCTCTGCAGTTACTGCTTTTTTTTAAAGTTTTGAAGGTTTACAAGCAGTGAATTTGCTATTGTTTTCTATGTACATTTCCCTAAAAGGAATTCTTGATTGCTTGAAACTTGAGCTGAATGAATAATTGCTATTGCTTCATCTGGTTTAGTCTTAGCTTTGAGTGGTTCAGCAAGATAAGCAGATCGATGAGTTCTGAAGATTTATTTCTCATTTTGAAATGTCACAAATTTTTTTTGAATGAGTCATTTGACCTGCTGTTCAAAACTGTAAATGGAGATGTGTTCTTGAGCTGTGTTCATACGATATTTGTGTTTGGATGAATACTGCTTTCCAGCTCTTCACTGGTTGAACATGACTGTTCAGACTCTCTTCTCCAGCTGTATTTTCCCTTGGGTAAGCTCAGGCTTGTGCATGATGTGATCCAATGAGGAGAGAAGTTAAGCCATTTACATTTCAACAAGTATCATTAGATACCTTCTGTCTTTTCACCCTGCTGTGCTTGACTTACATTTGTGGTATTTTTGTGATCTGCTAATCTGTCCCAGCGAAATCTTCTGTACTTGAAGTGCTGGCACTTGAAAATTGACATTGTTGGCAAGAAGCAGTGAAACTGAAGCCTTTGGTAATGTCAGACAGCGTTTCTAGCCTTTCTTCGTGGGGAGAGTAAATTCAAAACCTTCTCTGCAGAGCTTCTCTAGCACCTTGGAAGGTGCCGTATCACAAAAGGGAAGTCACCAGAAATTTCAGTTATTTTTCAGCTCCATTAGAAAATGTGGGGTAATAGGGAGTATACTGCTGTCCAAATGACCTGAGACATTTTATTTTCAGACTTAAAAAAAAAAAAAAAAAAAAAAAAAAAAAGTAAAACAACAACTTGGCCATCTAGTTTTGTATCTGTTTCCTGATGGCCTTATTATAGGAATTAAAAAGCTGGACACTTCCCAGTTTGCTGTAGACCCCTCTTTGCTACCTGCTCTGTGCTGTTCAGGGAGTCAGCTGGGTAATTTGATAAAAACCTTTGCGCTTTGGTAAAAGTAACAGGTGCTTTATTTTTTACCCCATGTTCTTGCATGCTGTAACATGGACAAATGAGAGAGGCAGCTCTTCATTTACTGCACACAGCGTTTTAGAGGATCTATTACAGGGGAGAAACAAGTGTCACGATCTTGTTTGTTGTCAAATGCACGTGGTGGGGGAAAACCTGTATGTGACCTTCATGTTGTGGAAACAAACTCCAGAGAGAAAGCTGGTTCAATCCAGGGGACTTGTTTTATGATTTTAATCTGTTTTTTTGATTGACTGAGTCTCAGAACTGAATCTTAAGACTTTTGCTGTTCCTTTCTTACATTAGTCTAACCTTTGCCGAAATTATCTGAGATATTTTCACTTGTGTAGCGGGGGCTTTTAATCTGAGTCACTGCATACGACGAACACACAAACCTATAGTATCACATTACTGAACGTGGTTTAGAAAACACTCATGCCATTGGCTTTATGGCTGTGCTGGTGGTGACCAACCCCCTGATCAAGTACGCAGGGTGCAGAATTAATTTCATGCACTTCCAGAGGCAACAGCAGGAGAAATTGTTCTTGCTTTGGATTAATTTCTTTGTTGTGAGAATGAAAGAAAAGGGACCACGTTGCGTTAGAGTGGCAGCCAGCCTTATTTTGGAGGGTGGTGTGAGAGCAATAGGTGTGTTTCCTCTTGTTCTTGGGCCTTTAAACTGTGCTTGCAGTTACTGGGGAATCAGGCTAACAAGAGGAGACAGAATTGGGTGGTTTGTGCTTTGAGGAATGATATGAGGGGTGGGCAAAGCAGGAACTTTCAAAAAAGAAGGGAAAAAAAATAAAAATAGGGTGGGTAGGGGAAGTGTTCTGGGACTTTTGGCCTGACTTGTCGGTATTTTGGGAGTTTGCTGAATAGACATTGAAGATGGAGAAGTGTCTCTGGAGCTACTGGCAATGATTCCCCAGAGGATGAGTTTTGGTTTCATTTTTAAAGCATTTGCTTTTATAAAAATAAAACCCAAACAAACCTTGCCCTGTGGCTAGATAGAAAACTGACTGATAGGCCGTGCTGCTTTACTCTCCTACTCGTGAACTTTAACTTGCAGGAATATGGTAGTTCCTGATGTTTGTTTGTTTGTTTGTTTGTTTGTTTTGCCTGGGAAATAAATAAAATAGAATGAGGAAAGTACATCTTAAACCTCACAGTTCAGTATTGGTTTTCTCACTGTGTTGTTTAAATAACCCAAACATTAAGTGTGTATACGGTCAAGAGAACAGTAGCTTACATCAAATAGCTAAAAACCACTAAATATTGAGAAAGGAAGGTGGTGTATTGAGCACTAAAGCAGGATAATCAGAAGGGGAATGCGAGATCAGATGTGGGGGTGGGAGGCAGGAGGGAGGGTTGTTCTTCTGCTGTGCTCAGAAGTGATGGGAAGAGATCAGTTGTAGTCTGGTCTGGCTTATTGAACTCAAAACCGATCAATGATAACTTCTGAAAACAAAAAACACAGAGGGCTTTGTGTTATTGTGCTCCTTGGGCAGATTATGCCCAGCAAGTCTGCTGAGACGGCTCCTGCCGCTCTCCCTGGCTCTACCAAAAGCATGGCCGGGCTTTGAGAGTGTTTTCCGAAGGTTTTCATTTAATTTATCTTTGCAGCTTCAGCTGGAGCTCACTTCAGTTGTATTCTCTGAAATACGGACTGTGTGGCAGCTGCTGGGGAGGGAGAGGAGGAGAGAGGGCTGGAGGCTTCATCTATACGTTGCTCCCAGACAGCTGTTTCCATATTGCACAGAAAATGAAGTCTGTCACCGTATTTTATTTCTAGCAGTGTGTGTTCTTGTCGGTTAGTGTGTTTCTTTGAAAATGTATTTTCAAAATGACTAATGAAATAGCATTTAACTGCTTCAGAAAGTCAGCTCTCTATTAAAGGCAATGAGAGATGAGTGGCCTTGAGGATACCCCACAGTTTTGGTCGCTTCAGCCGCTCTCTGTGTTTTGGGTCAGAGGTAGAAGGATGAGGAAAATACAGAATAAACAAAATGCTGATGAAATTTCCCTTGGGCCCTTCAGATGACATAGGAAAGCAAAGACATCACTTCCCTGACCAAGGAAGTTTTTGCTTTTGGACTTGCATAACTGGTGGAGGAAGGAGAGAATGAGCTCTTCCATCATCAGCGACTGCAATTTCAGAGCAAACATGGTCAGTTCTTCAGGCGCAGTAATGCCCATTTGATTAACAGGTACTGAAGGGAGCTGGGCATTAGAAGAATAAGTCAGTGTTGTTTCTGTAATTGGACTGTTGCTGTGTCTGGATTTACTCTTCCTGGAACGAGAGTTAAATAGCAGGAGCTCAAGCCAAAGTAATTACTCTCTTGCCAGGACTCTCGTAGCAGACGTGCAGCTCCTTCTCTCATCTCCTGCGGGCTCTTTCTAGACCGCGGTGTGCTGCCATCCCTTACAGGTACTGACTCGCAAGAGGCCTCTTGCCTGGAATAGATTCTCCTTGTTTTTTTTTTGTTTTTTTTTTTTTCCCTGTGTAGGAAATAAATCCCAAGCCACCTAGCTCTGGAATATTTTTTCTGGCTGGATATTGTACGCTGTGCAGGTCCCTGCAGTGGAGGTGGCACGACATGTTCTCCTGCACTGTTGCATGCAGGTGATGTGATTTCTGGGGTCTGTTTGCACTGTGGCCGTTTTGAATATGTATTTCTGGCTGACACGAATGTCTTCAGCCTTCTTCCCTGCCACAAGTGAAACCCGTTGTCTTCCCAGTAGTGTTTTAGTCCTACAAAGCAGCACTAAGTCCCACAGGGCTCGTTCCTACAAGACAAGGAGACACAGGGTTGCCTTCAGTTTATAAGAATATTTTGGTCCTGTTCATGTTAATTTTATCTTTAGTCTAAAATTTCAAGACGCTCAGTTTATCTACATGCATACCCATGGATCCATCTCATGGACACTATGTGATGCAGGGATGTCTTCAATACTTTTCTGCCAGCCCAGTCACTGCTGTGTGCAATTTCCAAGATGTATCTGAGCAGCAAAGAGATCCTCTTTCAAGGGATGTCCCAACTATCAAATGTAAGCCTGGTTGCTTCATGTCAGACTGAATGCTCTCTAGCTCAGCATTGCACCTCTGCTATGGGCTGGTAGCTGTGCTGAAGGACAGTAATGGGATGGATTTTTTGGGATTGGCAGTTTGGAATCTTCCCAAGCAGAGCTTGACCCTCTCCAGTTTGAAAACCAACATTAGGGCATGGGATGCTCTACCAGCCTCACCGCCTGCAGTCTTCATTTGATCTCTCTCTGTTCACCTCTCCATCCCTTGCATTTTCACGGCATGATGGGCTGATGGATCTCCACCAACCTCCTGTATCGTAGAGGACAGTAAATTTGCAGTGGGGAAGGACTGCTCTGTGTGCAGCACTTGTTAGCCTGACTGAGAAGTTCCAGAAACTTACTCATGATGATTTCTGTAGAAATAGGAAATAAGAGTAATTTTGTGTCACTCGTAGCAATATCCCAGAACCTGCATATAGTTGGGGTGTCCCCTTTCTCCGGGGGTTCCCTGGAGAGGGCAGTTTCTAATGGCCTTTGTTCCCAGCTGCCATTTACACAACTTGTTTCTAGGTCCTTATTTCAGAGAGGCATTTCAAAGGGAATCTTGTTTTCCAGCAATGCGCTGTGAGTCATGTGGTAACTGATGAGAAGCTGTTGAAAGCTAAGCCTTGTACTCCAGCCGAGACGCTGTCACATTCTCTCAAATCTCTGCAACTGAGATGTACGTTTGTCATTGATGTTGTTGTGGTTTGAGCCTGGTCGGCGGCCAAACACCACGCAGCCACTCACTCCTCCCTTCTCTTCCAGCGATGAGAAGGGACAAATGAGCCAGGCTTGTTGGGGTTCGAGATAGGACAGGGAGGGGCAAATCACCCATTATGGTCACAGGCAAAAGGCAGACTTGTT